GGAGCTCTCGTGCTTGATATAAAATAGCGGGAAAGCCCGCAAAGCGAACACGCAGGGGGTTTGTACGGCCCCGCTCTTCCCCAGGGCCCCGCGCCAGGGACCGGAGCAGCCCCGGCCGGAGCGCGGCGGGCGGGCGGGCACCGGGGGTTCCGCGCCGGCGGAGCCCGGGCAGCCGCGTACCGCCCGCCAGCTCGGGCTTTCGGGCCCTGACGGCCCCGCGGCTGCTCTGGGCCCTATGGAAAGGCGCTGCGGACGGCTTCTGCTATAGCGAGCCCTGCGATTTTTAGATCTCGGGCTTTTTTTTTTTTTTTTTTTTTTATTTTTCCTCCCACCAGCGTGCCCTGAAATTTATTTTTTGTTAACTGTAAATACTGAGCGATAATCCTGGCCCAGTAATTGGAAAAACTGACATCAGTTTCCTTCTGCTGTGTAAAGAAAGCCCAGTGCTACTTTCAGCCTCTTATTTGCCAGCATAAGGATTTTACAACTCTGCTGTTTCAGGAGGTAATCTGACTTAAATGAAACCAAACACCAAATTGTAAAATTAGCACAGACAGGAATCCAGCTGCACACTTTCTTTGAAATCCTCATTAGCATGTTACCCTGAACCGTAAGAGGGCCGAGGGATTAATTTCTGCGAATACTTCAAGGTTTCTCAACAAGCTGCTGCTGCAGATCTATATCTGACTATAGGGATAAATCCTAAAATCTATGCTTGCCAGTAAGGTCAAGGCAGCCAGCGGAGATGTATCGAACCACACTGTCAGAGGTAGACATTTCAGGCCAAACTCATTCCTGGTGCAGCACTGCTAATTCCTTTGAAGTAACACGAGGGATGAATTTAGTCCCTCATGCTGAAAGATATATCAATAGGAAGCAATTTAGATTGGGCCACTTAAAGTGCATGTAGTACAAAAAAGAGAGAGAGACTGAGGAGTAATGCTTTAAGGGTTCATAGAGGTTGATTTGTGTAAGTTAGTGAGGTTGTAGCACTGCTGTCCCAAGGGAAAGTTGGGGGAAATGGGAAATTGCCTTTTATGGCTGAGCCTCAGGTTAACAGGAGAGAGGAAAGTAGTTTTAGGATTACTGTGTAAATTGGCAGTGTTACAGGCTGCCCTTCCAAGTTACACTTAAGTAGCACAATGGCACCTATTCACCTCACCCTCTTCCCCAATTATCCGGAGACATACCCATCGGCAGAGTTTACATTTTCTTCACCCACTTTCTCCTTTTCACACAATGCACCAAATAATGATGTTTAAGTTCTGACATCTCAGCTGGGACTGGGGAAGGGAAAGAGGGAGGTCCAGAGAAATGGGCAACCCAGTTCTAAAACCTTGTTGCTTTGCTCTATAAAACCTTGAGAATCCGATGGAGTGTACACAAGATAAGTTCTCATTGAGGGGGTCCTGTCATTTGACTCACCCTAGGTCCTGAGATGTTTCTGTGGGCTCATAGCAGGAAAATTGCATTATCCTCTGTGGCTGTTGATGATCCTTGATAAATATTTTTGGAGCTTTGGGCTTTCCCATAGTGACAGGCTGCTAATCTTGTCAGAAAGCAAGCAGTTGTTTGCCCAGTGTAAATTGGCAAATAAATATTTTATTATTTTATAATGGGTGGGAGGCATGTGAATGGAAGACTTGGTCATTCAGAGATTGCAGCTGCTTTTCTCTCGGGATCTCACATTGTGTCTCTCTTTGGTGTTTCAGAATAGCTGCTGGAAAGCTGCCCTGCCGTAGCCGCTGACGCTATGGAAGACCGCATCCGCTGGTCTAGGCTGTAGGATGGTAGCGCACAGCAAGGTGTCAGCAGATAATGCAGTTGCAGCAGACCCGAGATGTCTACTTGACCCTCCAGCACGGGATCGTTCACAGGCTCGAGGCTACCACGGCCCAGGCCGGCCCAGCACTGTGCAGGCACAGAGCAACACGCACTTCCGAACCTTTCGCTCCCAAGCGGATTTTAGTAGCATCACTCGAGCAAGCAGCCTGCTGGATGCCTGTGGCTTCTACTGGGGACCTCTGACTGTCAATGCTGCCCACGAGAAGCTGAAGTCTGAGCCCGAGGGCACCTTCCTCATCAGGGACAGCACACAAAAGAATTGCTTCTTTGCCATCAGTGTTAAGACTGCAACTGGGCCCACCAGCATCCGGATAAACTTTCAGACGGGGCGATTCAGCCTGGATGGCAGCAAAGAGACTTTTGACTGTCTTTTTAAGCTGCTGGAACATTACCTAAGCTCACCGAGGAAGGTACTGGTTACCCCCCTGCGCAAAGTCCGTGTGCAGCCCCTGCAGGAGCTCTGCCGGAAGAGCATTGTGAAGACTTTTGGAAGGGAGAACTTAAACCAGATCCCCCTGAATCCTGTTTTAAAGGACTACCTGAAATCTTTCCCATTTCAGATATAAGTACAGCATTAACTGCGTAGGGACGTGTGAAAGATGTGTAAAGAAATCCAGCTTCCTGGGTTTTTAAACATGTTTGACAGTGAGCAAACTTATTTTTGTAGCAATTTACTGTATTTTGGGATGGAACTTGAACACTTGACTTCTTATGTTTACAAAACCTGTTTGCACAAACCTGGGGTTTTAAAACCCTGGTATAATTTTTCTGCCGAGCAGAATATTTTATTATTTTATATTATTTTTAATGATATTAACATAATAAACTTTATTGTGAAAGTTTTTAAAAAAATAGCATCTCTATTTTTAGTTTTAAAGGCTCTAGTACCTATCCTGCTGACAAGCTCTAGTGGCTAATTGAGCGTGTAAGTGCAGACAGGTCTTCTTGTGGCCCTGCTCTTTGCCCTACCAAACAAGCCTGTTCTAGTGCTAGTCCAACAGACAGAGGATTCCTGCCCCAAAAAGCCTAAAATAGAAAGATGCAAGTGAGAAGAAAATGTACTGGGGATGAATCAGCCCAGGAAGCTAGTGCTCTTCTACATCCATGGGAGCAGGAACACTGTGTTAAGACTACAGTGGTGCATAGTTTTTGAAAGAGTGAATTGAACCCTTGGCTGAGCTAATTGCACCAACTCTGGCTTGCCTTATTAAAAGCTGCAAGTCTCTAAGAAAGAAGAGGTTGCTGTCTGACATAACCAAGCCACGTGAACATCAGTGGGGAAAAATAAAACTGGCCAGAAATGCCATTCGCACACTTTAAAAGGCTGTGAACACTATCATTATGATGCACTGGGGGAAGGATAACTTGGTTCTTTCTTTAAATTGGCATACATAAAATGGCAAAGATGCAGGCATCTTTAGCCTTCCAAAAGGTGTTTCTTGTCTTAAATTCCTCATGATCTACAGAGCGCAGACTTGATATTTCTAAAGAATCTATGACTTCATGACAGGATCCAGAGAGCATAAGCATACAGATTCACAGTTGTAATTTCTAATGGCTAAACTGCATTCAGAGAAAGTTAAAATACATTAGACTATTTTGTAATACCATTTGTAGGAAATGGGTAAAGGCACCACTGAGTTTCTATCTGCTCATAAAATGCAAAATCAGTGCCCCGTAGAGCTGTAACTGTGAATGACTTGAGATGCCTAATTTGGCAAAATGTCACCTGCATTATGATAGTGATGCTCCCTTCCCCCAAGCATTTCCTGAAATCCATGAAAAGCTGACTTAGAAAACCAGCTGAACCAAATCACTTCAAAGAAGGCACAGAGTCTTTCACAGAAATGTACTCTATCAGCACAGATCTATGGTGCTTACAGTAACTGTAAGCAGTAAATGAAGTCATCCTTAGAGTTTTGAAGATAAAAGGTCTCTCCCTCTACTGTAATTCACACTTCTTTTAAAGCTAAAGTCACTTTTAGGAAACACTGAGTATGCGTTACATAGTGTTCCTTACTTCATAATTTGTTTAATATCATTTATTCTACAAAATCAGCTCTCACATCATCGATGTTTCTTTGGAATAAATAGGTTTCCTCCTCAAACATGACTAAGGATCACTCTTGGTGATTTGGACATTGTGAAAAAGGGAAAAAGAAAGAATGTACAGGCAGCATCTTGTCACCCTTTATTGCGCTGCTTCCTGAAAAATGTTCTTTGGATTGGTCCTGCCTAAGAGCCTCCCATTTCCTTGTCAGCCATCCCTGTATGAGATTAACGGACAGCATTTCTACTTAATTCTAAAGCTGAAATTAGTTGAGGAACGATGCATTTTCCCACAGCAGCTGCAAGGATATAAATTGAGGAAGTAGTGAATCTTGTGCTATGCAGCAGATAACAGAGCAAAGCAACTGCCTGAATGTGATTAGCTTTAAGAAGATAAATTGGAAAAAAAAAAAAAAGTCTTTGTAGGGTGAAGGCTGCCAAACTGGTTTGCTGTCAGCAGAGATTGTTATCCTTTTCCCGGTGCTCTTTTCCCAGCCACACTCAGAATTGTCTTTTAACCCTTCAGTCCCCAGTGAGTCTTCCCTTGCTATATAAATGAGTGCCCACATGACAGCCTTAGTGGTAGGACAAGCACAATGTAGCTTAGAAGGTTCTCCACTACTGATAAACCAAGCAAAACTAGACCTAGATACATGGTAAGGGGCTTCCCACTGAACGGCATGGAATGAAAAGCTTAAATTTTATTCCTGGAAGAAACAAACCTACTTTCTCTCTCTTTTATTGCTTTAGAGTAAGTTCAGCAGAAACGATCCATATCCTCCCACACGAAGTGCCTAAATCCCTTAATTCTGTCTTTGATATGAAATGCAAATGTCGGATAGCTCAGGAAAAAATATAATCAAAACTATAAATAAGAAGGTCAGAATTGTATAAAAGGTCTGTTAACTACATATCTTTTCACCTGCCTTATTCTTCTACTTCCATTTCCTTCTCTCTCCCCAGATTACAATAAAGTGGTCAGGCAGATCCTCTTTCTAGCAGGCATATGTAGTTTACAACCACAGTATGGGTGTTCTCAACATCACTCTGACTTACCCTCTGTAAGAGCTTAATGAAAGGCTCTCTAAAACATCTGCTTACCTGTTTGCACCGATTTAAGGACTCTGTCACATCTAAGGGGCATAGTACAAGTCTTCTGAAGATTTCTGTAGTAACACCAGCTGTCAGATCTCTCATCTTCTGCTTAATAAAGTACCAGCAAGGTCAAATAGGGAATTTGCTGTATTCTGCACCTAAAGCAATGTAAACACAAAACAGTAAAGTGATTTTAATCCTCCCTGCTAAATAATAAGTGAAGTGCAGTGTTTTCAGTTCCTCCTGCTCTTGCCCAGCTTTCCTCCAACCTTTTCATCCTGGCTGTGGCTGGAAAGCAAAGTAAGCAGTCAATCTGGTAAAGGACTACAGAAGAATTTGGGTCATGCTCAGAAGCAGAGCAAAGCTATAGTTTTCTGAAAAGACTGAAATATTTATAGTTAGTAGGGAAGGGACAGCTTTAAACTAATACCATTTGCAGCATGGCTGTGTCACCCTCAAAGACCCTGGGGAGCTGTGCAGCAGGGTCCTGCTGGGACACCACCCAGCCCTGATCCAGTGCAATGCTCCTGGGACCGTACAGGCAGCAAGCCTGAGGCTTCCTCACTTTTTAAAGACTGAAACACACATTCGCTTTCAGAGTAGGTTAATTTACATACCATGCTGCAGCTGTGAAACACTTGCTAGTGAATAGAGCTAATTAATAAAACTGTAAGTGTTCAGAGAACCTGGTTAATTTAGCCATGAAGAGTTATTAAATGCTCAGTAGGAGCCTCCTGAATGGCAAGCATAACCTTACCCACGGTGAAGCTGTGGTCACACAAATTCTGTTATGATTGAAGTCATTTACAAGAAATGAAGCTCCAGCTGCAGTCAGCACTGATGCTATTTTCAACAGTCAAGAAGAAAGTGTCCCCTAGGGCAACATGCTGACCGTATCTACTCATCAATACTCTTCATACAGCTTGTACTTAATCCTCTATCGAACAGTGTATTCACCTCCTGAACCTTCTCCTTCAGATCTAGTGTCAGCCCCTTCTGTTGTGCCCGACTGTCATTCAGGCCCTGGCTCTCCTTCCACCCTTCCATTCATGGTGCTAACAGCTGTGAGAGCAATGCATTTATTCATTAATTCCAGCTTTGAGACAAAGGCTGTGTAACAGCAACTTAATTTGGACTCTACATTGCCTTCTGTGCAAAGTGTGAGCTAATAACTGCATTTGCAGTGGGTTTCCAGGATGTTTCTCCCAATTACAGAGAAGTGCAGTTCAAGATTTTTCATTACCACTGACTTGTCTGTTGTCATACTTCTGCATGGTATTCAGATCCTGTCACTGTATCTGACTTTTTTCATCCCGTGCTGTTTTTGGCTGGGATAGAGTTAATTTTCCTCACAGTAGCCAGTATGGGGCTGTGTTTTGGATGTGTGATGGAAACAGTGTTGACAACGCAGGGGTGTTTTCCTTATAGCTGATGGGTGCTTACCCAGAGCCAAGGCCTTTCTGCTCCTCACCCCACCTGCCAGTGGCTGGGGGGGCACAGGGAGCCGGGAGGGGGCACGGCCGGGACAGCTGACCCCGACTGACCCCAGGGACAGCCCAGCCCATGTGGCCTCATGCTCAGCACAGAGAGCTGGGGAAGGAGGAGGCAGGGGGCACGTTCCGAGTGACGGCGGCCTGCCCAGGGCGAGGGGGGAATAGAGCTCTTGTTTTGCTTTGCTGGTGTGGACAGCTTTTGCTTTACCTGTTAAACTGTCTTTATCTCAACCCATGAGTTTTCTCACTTTTACTCGTCTGATTCTCTCCCCCATCCCACCAGCGGGGAGGGAGCAAGTGGCTGTGTGGGGCTGAGTTGCTGGCTGGGGTTAAACCGTGACACCTCCACAGCTGTTTCCCAACACAGCAGCCAAATTTGCTGCACCTGGATCCAATTTGATCTCTGTGTCACCATGGAGTAACAGAAACACAGGCCAGCAGGGAGCATAAAGAAAAGCCCAACTTCTCTGCTGAGTTAGCCACACACCAAAAGTATGTCCCCTCTGTCTGGAAGTCAGTGACACACTTTGGATGCAGGTTATTGAACACAAGAGTGAAAGAGATGATGCTTGTGCATAGCAAAGCAATTGCCCTACAGTCTTCATCTATAAGAACAGATATTGTGAGGATGGAATGGCATCCAAACAGAATAAGCAAATAACTAACCGTGCCACAAGCCACATTTGCTCAGCTTCCTTCATTCTGCTCCTTTTGAGAGAAGGCAAAGTAGGATCACCTTTCTGTTCTCATTTTAATCTCAGTTATAGGTTATTTTTGTAGCTCCCAGCCATGTAGAAGAATGATAAATCCAGTCATCGCTTTTAAAGAGTTCTGTCTCCTATGAATCACTACTACTGGTCTGCTTCTGATTGTAAGCACAAAGGTTCATCTTCGCTAACAGAGTTTTGGGGTTTTTCTGTTCTCTGCTGCTAATTGAAATAAAGCAACTGTGAAGATTTGCTCATTTTTTGCTGAATAAGATCCACTGGCTTGTAGGTGTGCATAATCCCTCCAGACATGGCTGTGGAAGTAAAGTTCTCCTGAGTGGTAAAAAAGGGGAACTTTCTTTACATGATTAGTACATTTTTAATCAGAGGTTTCTTACACAGTTATCTACTGCCAAACACTTATCACTTCTTTCACAGTGATTAAATCATTACATGTCTCTTTCTTCCCAATGTAATGAATTCCTTTTTAGTTCTATTTTGTTACAGGAAAGGGTTATTTGGTTTAATCTTAACAGTATCCTTGTTTACACATGATTCTGAATTCTACAGTCTGTACTTGTCTATATTGAGTAGGGTGGGCCAAGACATGCTCAGATTTACAGTGAGATACTCCATGGGCAGATCCAGAATGGTGCCAGGGGGCCTGAGAGGACACTGACTTGGACATGTGTGCAGTTGCAGTATTGCATGGGCTCAGAATGTATACACAGGGTTGTTAGCTCAACACAACTTGTGAATCGGATCTAGTGATCATTAGTGGGACATTAGTTCCACAAAGCCCCTTTACTTATATATTTACAGTATTTTGCAAGCCATAAAGATTTGAAGGCTAGAAGATACCAATACATTAACCTAGTTTGACTTTCTATATATAAAAAAAGGCCTCAGAAGTTTTACCAGGAATTTTCTGCAGTGCAGAAGTTATTCCTGCAAAATGCATCATATGCCTGCTGTGTAAGTGACCATTATCAAAGCCAGTTACGTGTAATTAAACTTAGTAGAGTTTTTAGGCAGACATTCAACCTCAACTGAAGGATGGCAAGCACTAAAGAATTTACTGTGTTCTTCCATGTAATCTTCCACTAGTTGACATACTGGCCTCATTGCAATGCAACTTACCTTTTCTGATTATCAACATGTCTGGCCAGCCACAGTTGTCTTTCCATTTGGGATTACAATAGCAGCATGGCATGACTGCAGGTGGAGAGGGAATAAAGCCCTAAAGGAGATGGTGGGACATTTTTTCATGTTACCTGGCAGAATAAGACTAGGCACAAGGCTGGCTTCTTTTATGTAAGGTGAGCTAGTTGCCACCCAGGACTTTCTGAGCTTGGTAACAAGCAAGGAAAGAGAAAAGTCTTGATCATCAGTCTTAGTCAAGCACATTGGGAAAGGAGAGGAATCTAAAGTTTTTATAAATCAATTTCCTCCCTCTCTCAGGCAGCTGAAATGCAGATAGTGAAGACACTGTAACTACTGCACTAAAATAAGATAAGCAAGCCACACAGACAAAAGACTTGGAAAGATGCACCTGGTTGGATAGGTAAGTAGGATAAGTAGTTTACACCTTTACTTAGATGCTGTCAAATATCTTGGAATTTATGTGCTCTGTTTTAGTTGCTTTTCAAAGTATAAATGGACATCCTGGCTCTGTTAAAAAAGCAAACAGCTATTAGGACCTTCCTTATTCTATTGCTAACTGGCCTCCTGATTACTGCAGACTTCGAGTAGGAGAAGAGAGATCAGTGGTTTCAATAGTCAAGACACATAATATGTACAAAGGTGAACATGTTAATGATGAAAAAGGAGAAGAATTAGCTTAGTAGCAACCAAGAAAAAAGAGGAAAAATAATTAGCAAATTTTCAGAGAAGATAGTAGTAAAGGGTGTCTTTACTGTGATGAATGCTGGGACATTTAGTGGTGGTCTCAGCAGAAGCAGAGAACAGGGGATAGGGAGACAGCTTGAGAAGGAAGGCACAAGTGGGACCAAATCTCAAAGTCTGTATTTTCCACATAGCTATAAAGCCATTCTTTACTTCAGTTACAATGTTCCCAGGTTAAGTCAAGATAGAGCGAAAAGTTACCAGTATACTGGCAGATGAATATGTTGTCACTGTAAAGGAAGCCTCTGAACTCAGTTATCTTTATCTTAGATGGAAGATCTCAGATAATTTCACCAATCCCTTCCACCTTTCACAAAATTTAAACTGAAAATAATGTGCTTTACTGTATTGGTCCAACAAGCATCCTAGAGGTGGCATTAGCACAGGACAGCCAGCAGCTGCATGGAGTCACAGGAGTGCAGAGAAGGCCCCAGCATTGTCCCGTTCCCAGGGATCCTGAACTGAAGGACACTTCGCAAGACACAACGTGAATGTGAAGACATAGGGAGGATACTGTGGACCCATTTTATCTCTTGGTAAATCTGCTCTAGTCACAACATTTACACATGTTGTGGGAAAAATCAAAATATTAACCATATTCAATCACACGTTTATCATATCAGAACATACAAACACCTGGAATGAAACCTTAGCTCCAGTGAAATCAATTTCCAGAAAAGATCAGCTTTTCTATAGATAATATTATTAAATAACAGTAAGCACCTTTTAAAAATGAAATCAAAGATCAGTGGTTGCATTACAGAGATTTCTTGATAGAGCTCCAGCTAACAGGTTGGGGGTGATGTGAAACCATATTTATGCTGCTCAGTTTTGATACTGAAAGTGTGCATACAAGACTGTGTGCAGTTTCCTGCCTCCATTCCCTCCAGCTCTACAGAATATTTGCAAGTCTCCCCTGTGCCCTTCAAACTGAAACTGATAACTATGTTACATTTTCACTCTAACCAAACTTTACCCAAATCAACTTCCCTACAGCGGAAACTAATTATTACTGGAATTTGAGTCAGATTGAACTTTCAGACTGAGATTTTA